CACTATTAAAAATAATGGTAGAGTATATCCCACCTATTAAATTTAATATAAACTTGAGAATTGAATACAGAATCGAAGAGAATCATTATGATCCTTAGTTGTAAAGTATTAAGAGTTGTTTTTTGTATTATTGTTAAATAATAATTCTTGTTTTTTAAAGGATTAATATATTGATAATAGTAATAAGATTGTTTATTTTTTAATTGATACTAGTAATAGTTTTGTAAATTTGTCTTTAATAAGTTTGCAGGTTGACAATTTTCTATAAGTTATATATTTAAGTCTTGAATATATATATTTGATTTGTTCTTGTTTTAGAAATTGTTATTTCTTTTATTTTTCTACTTTTATTACACTAATTCTATTTTATTTATAGTATTTTAAGTTTGTAATTTTTTTGTAAAGGTTTGTCATTTGTTATTTAATTTCTTAAATATCTTGTTATATTTACCATAAGAGCATTATAATTTCTTGTAAGCTAATGCTTTTTGTTATACTATTTATAATTTCAGATTAATGTTTTACTATATAGCATAAAAGCCTAATATTTGTTATTTGGTGTTGTATTTGGTTTTCAAGTTAATACAATATTTGTCTGACAAATTTAATTGTGACTCATGTACATTTTAAGAAAAAGAAAACCAAATGGCTCAGTATTACTGTTATAAATCCTGTGACCTTCTGTAGTCCTATAGAGAATACTAGTGTGTTAAGACTCCACTAGCACTAATATTTAAAGCAAAATAATTATAGACGAAGGGACCATTTTGAAAGATATTAGTTAGTGCTTGATTTGCAATGTCTATATATAGTATTTGTAGTATGTTTTGGTTGGTTTTTTGTATTCTGTATTGAATCTTTTATCTTTTTTGTTACTTTTTGTGATGCCTTGTGCCAATGTTCACATTTGAGTAATTTCACAGCAGTATTTCCATATTTTTTTTTTCTTCCAGAAATTATTGAAGGCTTCTACTATGGCATCTTTTGCTGCTGATATGTTTCCTATTATCTGTTTTGCTGTTTGGAGCAGTTTGTGTATTATAATGCCTCTAATAATATCTCTTCATTCTATCCCCTGCCATGTCTGTATTTTTTTTCCTTAATGAAAGGTATAGATTTGTATTATTCTCCACATATCATTTATGTCACTGTTATGTTTGTTGCCACTTGATCTGCTTGTACATTCTCTTGTAAGGTGATTGATAAGATCTTTTTTGGGTTTGTCTCCCAGTGATCCATATTCGAATGGATGTAGTTCTGCTTCTACTTCTCTCAAACATATTTTGTATTTGTTATCGGTATATAATTTGGTTTTGTGATTGTGCAGTCTGTTCATTGTGGGCAGTTCTGATATTCAAAGTTTAATACGGAATGTTCTGTTCCTCATGTCCTCTAAGTTGATTGTTGTTGTTGTAATTTTGGAGGGGTATAGTGTTAAGAAGATTAAGGGCCAGTTTATCTCTAGTGCTTTTTGTTTGTTAAGCCATTGGTTTGTTTTTTGTTGTGCATGCCATTTACTTGACTATTTGGTTTTAGTATACTTTTAATTATAAACTTGATTGGTAGGTCTGTGTGCTTGTTATTCCATGGATTTGAAGACTGTTATCCTATATTTTTTTTTTGATTGATTTGTATTATGCTTCTATTTCTTTCCCATGGTTTAATTCTTGTCAGTTTGTCCACTCTGTCATTGCTTGGATTTCCTGAGTATCTTTTGATCTTTGTGAGTTTCCAGCTAATGTTTTTAATTTTGAGGATTTCAATTATAGTTTGTATTATTGCTTCATTGAATATATTGAGAGTCTTTCTATTTTGTGAGAACCTTCCTGCATTTAGAGTCTTTTCCTTATTCTTTATATTATTTATTGCTGTTTGACTGTCTATGATTATTTCTATATTAGCATTTTCTTTGATTGTATTGATTACTATTAGGATGGCTATCAGTTCTGCTCTTGTAGACGAGAGTATTCCTGTTGTTTTACTTGAGAATTTTGTCAATGTATTGTTTGTATTGTCTTGTATTGTCCAACTGATTCCTATTTCGGTTTGTTTTTCATTGGGCTATAGTAATCCATTTGTGTATATTTTGAGGTCTTGGTATTTACTTATTTTTTTTGCTATATGGAGGAGTTTGTTTTTGATGTCAGGGTCTGTTTTAATTCTTGTATTGATTAGGTAAGTTGTGTTGGATGTTTTGTTCAGGTATATCTGTAACATGTTCTTTTTGTGTATTGTTTTGTTTGGAATTTCCTTTAGGGTTTGTTCTATTTCTTTTGGGGTAAAGTGTAGCCTGTCTTTATTTGAGTCTATACTTTTTTCTAGAAATGCAGCTGCAAATTTTCTACTTTTATATACTGTGATGTCAACTGCTTTTAAACTGTTTATTTTTATAATACATTGTTGCTGTTCTTGGTATTTTAAACTAATTTCATGATTGTTAAGTATACAATCTTTGCATTTGTATAGTGGTGAATTGTTGTTTTCTTGAATTATGTAGTAGTAGATTGCTGTGTTCTAATTGGTTATTTTCTTCCACTTTGCCATGATTATGTTTTTGTTGATTGTGATTGCTATCCATTTGTTTGTGTGTTGTTTATCCAGATAATATAATAGATTGTTGGTTTTGAAAAAGTTGGTTGTACTTTTTTGATTTGGTAATATTTTAAGGTTGTTATAGTTATTTTTGTTGGCATTTATACATAGGATTTTTCTGAGATCTTGGTACCATTTGGGGTTTGTCCTTGTCTTTCTATTGTTCTCTTGAGCTGCTGCCATGTGAACATTCTGGTTAGGTTTGTATTGAGAAGTTGTTTTACGTATTGTTACACTTGATTTTCGCTCAAGATATTCACTACCCCTTGATTTATTTTCACTAGCATTGACTTTTAAAATATTAGTTATTTTAGAATAGTCTTGTATTACAGATCTGTTACTGCACCTTCGGCATCTATTGTATCTATTGCACCTTTACCATTTCTAGAATATTTCTATTTTATTTTATCTTTACTTTTTATATTATTTTCGCCAAAGTATTTATCTATGTAAATGCTACTATAGTTAAATATTCTGATGAAGATAATATTTATATCTTAGCTTATATTTTTACTATAGCATATATTTATCCTATACAAAATATTATAACTTAAACATATATATAAAGATTCCAATTTTGTCTAGGAATTGGCAGACTTGAACATATATTTTATCAAATAAATAACTTGACCTTTACAAAACAAATCACCATTGCCTCTTTCTTCTGATCTCATACATCTCAGAATTGTACTAATTTGTATGCCTCTAGGAACTTTAGTATACCACATTAGCCCTGTCCATCTAAAGTGTCTCTCTGTTACTAGTTCTCTGTCTTTATCTTTCTCTTGAGATAGAAACAATATATGACAGTATAATATTTTTCTGTTCTTGAGTGCTTCTTTGTTTTTGTTGTACCATTCTGGTGATGTGATGAATTTTATTGAGATGTCATCTCCTTTTGGTACTGTTACTAGTGTGGAATATTTAATTATAAAAAAGAGTATGCCATGGATTTTGAGTAAATATATTATATTCTCAATAAGATTATTATATTTGTGTAGCTATTTGGAGTGTATATTTAAAAGGATTAATTGTGTTGATCAAGTATTGTTTTGAAGTTGTTGTAGGCATATTTGTACATGTGTCTTTGCTCTATATTCTGTTGAACCAGTTGCTTCCATGCATCAGTATCTGTCTGTCCCAGATATTGAAAAGTTTGTAACCAAAGTCTGCATAAATTATACTGTTAGGGATTGTAATTGGAAGGTTGTTCTTGTATTTAAAAGCTTTTAGAAGTTTGCTGTTAAGCATGTTGCATTCCTTTTCTATAAGTGTAGCATCATTTAATAGGTATTTGATTACTGGCATAAAGACTTGGTTAATTATATAATAACATTGTTTGTCTATTATTTTCTTCTATGTTAATAGCTTTGTTGTTGTTGTTGTTTTTTTCTATATTATGATTTTTTGGAAACGTTTGCTTCCTGATTCTGTGATCCAGGTTTCTAGCATTCTAATTGGTATGTTTCTTTCTTGCAATATTACTTAAGTTCCTATCATGTGTATTCCATTTTTTCTATCTTGATCTGATACGTTGATATATATTAGTCCAGACTTGTCCCCATTGGCTTTGATATCATTAATTAAGAAGAATTCTGTTACAGTTTCTAAGATTTGGGACATGTTGGACTTGTTGTTAGCAAACCAGGTTGTGTCATCTATATATGCTAATGTAGTAATTTGTATACTGTTTTTTGTGATGGTGATTTTATCAAGAGTGTTTCGAATTGATAGGTCTTTATGGTGTTTCATCAACATTATGTACCCTGTGCAAGATTCTGAGACTTCTTGGAGAAGTGAATTATAAAAGATACATTACAGTAGTGGTGATATTGTATCCCCTTGGTCTATAATATCTTCAACAATGTATGGATTTAAGAGTTCATGTACTGTTATGACTTGGTTTTCTCTATCTGAGGTTAGATCTTATAGTATTTGTTTGATTTGTATTGATACTTGTATTCTGTCTAGAAACTTTATTAGCATATGCTGACTAACTGAGCCGAAGGCTTTACTTAAGTCCTGACTGAAGATCTACAGCTCTTTGTTGTTTTCTCTGATGTCTTCTGCTATGTTGTTTAGGATGTGTATAGGTTGTTGTATGCTATTTCCAGGAAGGCCTGCTCAGTTGTTTTGTGATAAGGTTGGGTGTTGTGATATTGTTGATGCTAGTCTTTTGTTTAGTATACCTGTGAAAAGCTTTCTGATTGTTTTTAAAAGTGTGATAGGACATATAATTGTTATGTCTTCCATCCAGTTTTTGGGCTTTAGAATTGGATATATGTTTCCTTTTTTCCAATTGTGAGAAATTGTGCCTGTGAATAAGATTTTGTTGAATATGTTTCTGATGATTTTTGTACTGTGAGGACCCATATATTTATAGATAGTATATAAAATGTTTAAAAGTCCTAGGGTGGAGTGTAATTTTTTGCTCTTAATTTCTGTTCTAATTTCCTCTAGTGTTATTGGTACTATGCAATTTTTGTATCAGTTTGAATTGATGTGTTCTTTGAATTTGTATTGCTCTGTTCATCTAAAGAAGTTTTGTAGTACTCTGGTATTTCTTCTTTTCGTCTATTGTTTAAAATGATCTCAAGTGGCATTTTTGATTTGTAGGGGGTCTGTAATGATTGAAATTGTTCCATTTGGTTCTTGTTGAACAAGCCTGTCTGTTATTTTTAATTGTTTGTGGCGGTTGAGGATGCTGTTGATCATCTTTTTAGGATCATCTTTGAGGTTTTGAAATCTTTGTTCTGTATATCTTTGAATTCATTATGTGTTGTCTTTTTTGATTAGTTTTGTTGCAAGTCTTTTTTCTATTCTCCATATATTGTAAATTGATGTGAGCTATTGTTTTCCTTCTTGTGAAAGTTTTGTATTGTTATATGGGAAGGATAGGTTAGAGATTTGTTCTTCTTTTTTGTTTAATTTTATTACTAATTTGATTATCTTTTGTTTAAACTCTGTGAATCTTTTATGTGGTTTAGTAAGCCATTGTCTATATTTTTTATAGATTTGTCCTGTAAGATGTGTATTTTTGAGTAAGTTGTTATAATGTGGTGGTTTTTGGCTTTGGTGTCCTTTTTTGAATTTCTGTTTTTTGAGGTTTCTGCTAGCTACTTGTAAGATGCTTTCTTTAAAGAGATTCCATATCTTGTTCACTTGATAATTGTTTTTGAGAGCTGCTTTTGCGATATTGATTGATTTTGCCTTCAGGTCATCTGTGAATTTTTTCTATTGTTTGACTGTTGTGTTTATAAAATCGTATTTGGATCTGTGGAAAGTAACCTTTTTTCTTTTATATATTTTGTTTTTGAAATATAACATATTTTTGCTTTTATTTGTAAACAAATATGTTTTAGATCAAATACTATAATATTAAATAAAAGATTTACAAGTTTTGCTACCTATTTGACTTTTGTCTTTATTTTACTTAAACTTTATTTTATATTAAATACTCTAATAATATTTGTTTTAAGGTATATATTTCATATATGAGCTACTTCTACTTTGCTATCATAGTTCTAATATGTAATTATTATTAATTTTTATATTTGTTATGTGCTCATATTAATGTTACAAATTTCTTTTTTTTTTTTGTAAATAAACATTATTTTTTATTTAATTTATATATAACAGGATATACATTATGAAAAAAACAATATCTCTTATATATTGATACAATGAGTTAAATACTAATATACCTATAATAACCATATGACTAATATTGAAAAAAAAATTTAAAACAATATATTTTATTAGATAGCATCAAGCAATCATAAATACAGTATCTATTCAATATTAAGTAAATTAGAATTACAGTTGAGAGATAAGGATGTTAGACTATAAATACATTTATAATAGTTATATTCAGATTGAATAAATATATTAGTAATGATAGAAAACAAATCAATAATAATGTTTTCTTGAAGATTAGTATTGGATATATTTTTGACTTGTGAAATATTTTTGTTTTTTGATTTGGAAAAATTTGATAATTTGAAGGATTAATATTACAGATTTTATTATATTTGATAAAGATTTATTTAATCTTTAAAAATTTTGTTTTCAATAAAATATTTTATATTGTAATACTGTTTTTTCAATCTGGAAAGGTCTTAGTCTATTGAACAAACAGTATATACTTGTTTTTCAAATTTGATAGATTATTTACACAGGCCTGTTTTGCATTTGTTGGTTTCTAAAAATTGTTATAATCTGCTCCTTATTTTTTTTTCTCTTATTGCAAATTGACAAAAGACTATCAGGATTATTAAGTGCTTTTATATTGAATTGAATTTTTTGCCTAATATAATTTTCAGAAATATCTATTGCTTTGATTTCAATTTTGTAATATTGTTTTTTATATATTGTTGTTTTGTTGAAAAGTAATTTCAGTTTGGATTTTAAAGTTTTGTTGCTTTTTTTCTTTTTGTTTTTGGCAAAATAGAATTTTGTTAATACCGTATACCACTGCATACAATATCCCAGGTATTAATCAATTTACCCCCTAATAAATTGATTAATACCTGGGAGGGTATTTTACTAGGAGGGGGGTAGTATTAGTGGCAGGATATATCATTACTATAAAATTCAAAATACGTACTAGTTTTACTTATTATTATATTAATATACCTGGGTAGTAATCAATTATTAAGCAACAATTTTTTTGAATACTACCCGGTATTATTAGTGGGGGGGTAGTATTTGGGGGGGATATTGTATGCAGTGGTATACAGTAATTGGTTTTTTATATCTGATATTTCCATTTTAATATTACTATTATCAATTTATGCTAGTGTTCTAATAGAAGTTAATTTGGTTTTTTTTTTGAATTGATTTACCTACTGTTTTATTTATATAAATTTTTGTTAATTTTGTTGCTTTTTCTGTTATTGATTTTTTTATGATTTGGCTTTATAACTTTATTAGTGTTTTTGAATAAAGATATTCTCTTATGTTATTAATATTAGTTTTTGTTTTTTTTGATTATTGTTATTGTTATTGTATTATTAAGGCTTTTTTGCTCTTTGATTATGGTTTCAAAAATTGAAATCAAATAAAATTATATAGAATTGCATAAAATAACATAAGATTCAAAACATTATAAAAAATGATAATGAATTATATTCTATCTGTTAAATTTAATATAAGCCTGAGAATGGAATACAGAATTAAAGAGAATTATTAGGATTTTTATTTTTAACTACTGATTTCTTGAAAAATTTCTGACTTGAATAAAAAATTGTTTCTCTGAATTTCTAAGTATTTTTGTTTTTGAACATTTCTGCTATATTGTAGTTTAATTTGATAATCAAGTTGAAACTTTGCAAACTTTTTTGCAAATTCATTTATTTCTTATTTAATAACTATATACAAATAGTAAAAGGTTTTATTTTTGTTTTATCATTTAATTTAAAAAATTTTTAAAAAATATATTAAAATAATTTATTTTTTAAATCAATTTAAGAAATATTTTAATATTTTGAGTTTATAACTAAAAAGAAACAAGTTTATATATAAAACTTTAAAATAAAAAATAATAAATTTTATCTATAAAAATAATTAATAATTGATAATATTAAATAATAAAAAATTGAAAACAAAAATCTTATATAAATATTATAATATATTATTATAAAATATTTGAAAATTAATAAAATCTATAAAAATATTGTTAAGTTATAATACAAAATTACAATATATTGTATATAGCATAACAATAAATAATATTATTAAAAAATTTTTTTCAAACAATATACATACAAAAAAAATTGTTAAATAAGAAAATACAAAAATTTTCTCTTCAAAAAAATAACAAAGAACTCTAAAAAATTATTCCTATCTTTAATAACCAATCCACTAAGTCTATATATACATTGTTAAATATTTTTATTACTGATGTCAACAAATACCTTTCTATAATTATTTACAAAAATAAACATACTAACATAGTATATATACTACCTCAATTACACATACCTGTTTATTAAAGTTTGAAAATTTATTCAAAATCTAGCTTATATCTATCTACTTTTAAAAGATAAATATGAAAGTCTTAATGTTATTTTTGTTTTCTTTGAAATTTGTAAAAAAAATACTTGACAATTACTATATAGAAATAAAGTTTTTTTTCTTTAATTCTATATTATTAGAAGTCTGTAACTTCTTTATTAAATATTAATATACCTTTAAATTATAAAACACTGATAGAAAAAGTATTATAAAGAAGCTTCTCAAATAAAATTTCAATTATGATTTAAATAAATATTAATATTATAAAAAAAAACTTATTTTTACTTTGAAGCAAAAAACTAAAACTCTTATATTTCTTCAAATAAATCTGCACTAGTTGAAAAACAATTATTAACAATAACATACAATTTAATTGTAAAGATAAAACATATATATAATCTTCTGAACACTAAGTTTTTAAAAAATTTTGATAAAATTTTAAATATTAATTTTTATAACTTACTTATATTATAAAAAATATAGTTTAAAATATTTTTTATTAATTTTATTAGTAAAAAATCAAAATTTTATTAGAAATTTTCAAAATAAATAAATTTAAACTTTATGTTTAAAATTTTAATATAAAAATTATATAAAATTTAATATACTGTATGTTTAAAGTAAAAAAATTATTTTATACCTTCAATACTACTCTGCTTGCCATATATCAAGCCATATTTGGAAAGCAGGCATATCAATCCTAATCATAACTTGGAGGCCAACCTGTATAGATTAGGTACAACGCCTTCATGTGATTAGGTATTTATTTACTTCTAGGTAGTTAGATACTATTCATAAACATAATATAAATTTTTGAATTTCTTTTTGTTTGTATTCCTTGAATGGTATTAAAAGAGTACAAGTGTCTGACCCCATATGGGAGTCTTGCGTTAAACTCTTCTTAGCAAGAAGAGACATATGTCATGCTATTGAGTATTGTACCTTGCTTTACAAGTGAAAATATAATAAATATAATAAAGCATGATAGTCATTTGCTCTTTTCAAAAAAAAAATATTTTACTTTTAATACAAGTCAAAATTTTTATAATTAAATTATTAAAATTGTAATAATTAAAGTTATTTTTTACAAATAATTTTATAAAACAAAATTGTTTTTTAAAAAAAAAACTCTCTCCTGATCATATTTGTTTTGTTAAAAATTTTCCTTTTATGGTAATTTTAAGCAATATAAAATGTTTTACACTCTTTATCGCAAGTGAGCCCCAGCTTAAGAACTCAAGAACCTTCAAGACAACTGGTGCAGTGGGATGGGACCTCTGGTCGAAGTCTATTCAAGTTTGGGAGTC